TTCTCTCCTCTCTGGGGTTCCCGACCCCAGCGCTTCTCTTCGCGTGCGAGGGCGATCGTCTAAAGCCCTGCAATACAGCGAGAAGACGGCTCCACCACAAAGCGCGGGACCGGGACCGCGCAGCCCCGTCCTTCTCGGCGCGGCTTCCGAGCTTCCGGGTCCCCTCCCCCGGAGGGGCGGGCTTCCCGCCTCCCGCCGCAGTCCTCACGCAGGTCCGCAGACACACTAGAAAAGGGAGCGGCTTCCGCGCTCCACCAACTCTGTCAGGGCCATGTCTGGACGCGGTAAGGGTGGGAAGGGCCTGGGTAAGGGTGGCGCTAAGCGCCACCGCAAGGTGCTGCGCGACAACATCCAGGGCATCACCAAACCCGCCATTCGCCGCCTGGCCCGGCGCGGCGGCGTCAAGCGCATCTCTGGTCTCATCTATGAGGAGACGCGCGGGGTGCTGAAGGTCTTCCTAGAGAACGTGATCCGCGACGCCGTCACCTACACGGAGCACGCCAAGCGGAAGACGGTCACTGCCATGGACGTGGTCTACGCGCTCAAGCGCCAGGGCCGCACGCTCTACGGCTTCGGCGGCTGAGCGCTCGCCCGCCCGTGACCCTTCTCTGCGCGCGCAGTCAAAGGCTCTTCTCAGGGCCGCCACCTTTTCCCAGAGGAGCTGTGACACTGCGCGGGGTCAAGCCCGCCCTTCGTCTTTATCTCGCTTCCCAGCAGCATCTGATGCTCGCGCATTGCGGTATCGGAGCTGCATGGCCGCCTCGGCTTGCGGCGTGGCCTCGTTACCGCACTTGGGTATTGGGGTCTGGATTCGTCTCCGGTGAGAAGCTCGCTGCAGGGCGGGCGGCACTTGCATGTGACTCGGAAGTCAGGTGGACAATGTAGAGAGTAGCGCCTTAATCTGCAGTACTAAAACTTTAATGATGCAGATTAAAGTGTCTCTGGTGCAGAATGGAACAGGGGTTAAGAAATTGAGCCACAAAGGTCAAAATTCAAAGGAGCCTCACGTACCCTTGAAGGGAAGGGAGTCTTCATCTTCGAGAAATCGAAACTGAAAACGGGTAGGTACTGAAGAGATGTCTGACTTCATGTATGTGGGCATTTGAAAGTGGTTTTAGATAACTGCAAAAGTTTATTCGTATTAAATGAAAGTTTTAAAATTTGGTAATTAGATTTTCAGTTCGCTGATTTAACGAACACCATTGACTTGTCTTAGTTTCGGAACACGACTCCGAGCTTGGCCAAGAGTCCAGCTTGACGAAGTCAGACGAGCCCACAGCCTGGAGCCGGCTCTGAAATGGAGCCCTCAGGAAGTACCTTTCAGACCTCCGGTTTCTGGATGTGGAAGGGCCTGACTTCAACAATCACGACTCCTCATTCCAAAGACGACCGAATAGGAGAGGTCGTACCCACGTGGTCAACCCTGTCCCAGCTTGCCTGGGAGGCACCACATTCTCTATGCTGATTCAATGCTAAAACTCCTTTTGTGGAGGAGTGGGAGATTTTTCTTTCGTGCTTATCCATTATTTTTGCAACATCACATACCGTCTTGTGATAACTTTGCATTGATTTATTGAAGAGTGTTTGCACTTGATTACAAAGGAAACAAACGTAGTATGTTGTACATAATTTAAATATTTCTTTTTGTCGGGAATGGTGGTGCAAGTCAGAAATCCCAGCATTTTGGGAGGCTGAGGCAGGATTGCAAATTTGACCCCAGCCTGGGCCATTTAGTGACATAAACAATCTTACCATAAAATATTAAAACAGGGTTGAGGGTGTAGCTCTGAAGGCCTTGGGTTCTATCCACAGTACTACAAAATGTGTAAATTAGAAACTTATAGTTGGTTTTTAAAGTTTGTTGGCACACTTGTGACAATAATCGCATTCATCATAGGGAAATTGTATGTAATACATCAATTTTTTTTTACCCCATTTCCCTCCGGTCCCTTCAACCCTCATTCCCCTGTACCTTTACAAAACCTTGTTTCTAATATTTTCATATTTGTCTTAGAAATCTGATTTGTGCTTATATGCTGACATAATGGAACAAAACTTTTGATATTACCCTTTCCAGTTCAAGGACCATATTTTGAGAAACTTGAACCGTTAAAGTTATAGCTAAACTATTCTGGGGATTTCCTCAATGACCATAGAGCACACATTTTTTCCTCATTTTAGAAGACATGCTTAATATTTATAATTAGTCATATGCAATTTTAAGAATTGTTCTGTTGTATGAGGAAAGAGAAAAATTAAAAATAGGAAACTATCCATAAATTAACCAGGTAAATGTTAATATACACGTTTACCAATTTTAAAGGTAGATTAGAACAGTAGGGTGGTGCACTCCTGTAATCCCAGGACTCAGAAGGGTGAGGCCAGAGGGTCACTGAGTTGAAGGCCAGCCTGGTCTGCACAGCAAGACCCTGCATCAGGAACAAAAAACATGAATAGAACATACTTAGGTTCATAGTAAAGATTAGCATAAAAATAGCAAGACATTGGGTTAGCACAGCCGGTGTTGCTCCTGGGTGTCAGTACCCTTGTTATCTGGCATTAACACAGCAAACACATTACGGGACAGAGGAGATGCAGGAAGGCATGGGAGTCTGGTCAGTGTCCTTACGGTGGGCAGTGTGGGAGACCTGATGAAGGGTTGATTATAATTTTTTTGGTACCAGGGGTTGAACTGGGGTCCTTGTGCTTGTGCAACATATGGCGAAACCACTGAGCTAAACCCCTGGCCCTTTTGAAGCATTTTTTAAAAAGACCTTGTGCTAAGCACAGGTCAGAAGCAGCAAACGAACTTTTTTAAGAAAGCACCAGACTGCAGACTCAGCCACAACAAATTTAAGATGGTGGATGTGGACTTCTTCACCAAAGATCAATGAAACCAGAATTACTTGGTAAAGATTGAATAAAGTGCTGTTATTGTGGCTGAAGTTCTTTTACTGTCTTCTTAACATGCCTTTTAGTTGCTATCCTTTCCCAATTGACTCCTCAAATTTTACAAAAATATTAAATGTCCTCTAATATTTTGTAGGAGTGCTTAAGAATGACTTTGTAAACAGCATGATAGTGCACACCTGGAACCTCAGCACCCAGGATGCTGAGGCAGCAAGATTACCACCATTTTGAAGTCAACCTGACTACACCCCGTGGTGTCGAGGCCAGAACTGAAGAACAAGACTCAAAAAAAAAAAAGGGATGATGGTAGAAAAGATGTGATGTGATATATATGGATAGGGCCTGTACACAAGAAGACAAGAATGACTGGCTATCATGTAAAATGTTAAGTCTCACGACTTTTTTTTAGTAATGTGGTTATTAACAGATCTTGCTCAAAACATGTGTCTTTTGCACAGTTACAAAATTAAAACGTGTGTTTAAACAGACTAAAGGATGAAGGACCAGGCGACAGGTAATACTCACGAGGCACTGCTACGCAGGGTAAAACTGTTTACACCGAGGGCTTTGGCGCAGCTGGCAACTGCGGATGTCCGCCTGAGGCTGGGAGCCCTTTGCGGGGCTGTTCCGGAGGCTCGAGTTGAGCAGGGGCCGTGGTCAGTCTGTCCTCCAATAGGCTGGGTACCTGCCCGGTCCAGGCTCTGAGTCCCCCTTAACTGCCTTAGTAACTGCACCCGGAGAGAAGAAGACAGAGCGAGAGGCACAGTGTGTGCGCACTGTGTGCCGTGGACTCAGCCCTGTGGGCCCAGTCATCCTAGCATTTTTCTTGGGTCTGAGTTTTCTGCACCAAGGGAGCGCTTGCCGGAAGTGTCCTTAGAGGCTGCCGGCCAGAGCGACTCCCATAGGAGATGACGCCAGAGAGAGGAATCCCCACACTCAGGCCAGTGGTAGGGGGCACTGAGCTGGACACTGCCAGTTTATATTGTGAGTTGAATTGTGAAAAAGGAGAAAGATAAGGTTACTATCAACTCAGTGCTGTAGTTTTAAAATAAAAGATGGCAGGGAGGGTGAACATCAGGAGTTCTAGTTTGGGCACCTTAGTCTTGGTCTCTCAAACACGCATGGGAAGAAAAAGGCCCAGCTGGCTCCACATCTGAGGTCTGGCAGGGAAACCTAGTGGGAGAGGGATGCAGGGAGTCACTGGTGCACAGGTGATTTCTGAGGCCTGCTGGCTGAGGCCTTGGGGTGGCGAGTGCAGAGATGGGAGCAGTACAATCAGGCTGTGCAGAGGCACAAGTGAGAGCTGCAGCGCCAGTCAGGCAGGGCCAGGCGAAGAACAGCGAAGAAATGGTAGGGTGGTCGGGGATGTAGCGCAGTGTTTCCGGTGCCTGACTCTCGAGCACAAGGTCCCGAGTTCGATCCCGGGTACCAAAAAAGAAATGGTCGGGGCAACTGTGCCAGGGTCCCAGGGGCCAAGCAAAAGGAAGATGAAGACTGGTACGGGCCGCTACACACGTGGTTCGTTCTGTGTTCTGGTAAAAAGCAACTACCATGAAGGCAGCAGAACTTTTTCTTTGGCGGAATCCTCATGCCAATACAGTGCTTGAAGCACATTAACTATGTTTAAGTATCAATGAATAAGCGACTAAATTAGCTTCCCAGTCCGGGTCAATGGAGCTCTCTCAACTATCCGTTTGAACGTTGTTTCACCGCTGCAGAGTCCTGAACATGCAGCGAAACCCGCAAATCCTGTGTTAGAATGCACAGTAACTCCCAAGACACCTTTTCCCATTAGGATCTAGAGAAAAGGCTTTTTATTCATTAGTGTCAGCATTTGCAGTACAGCTGGCGAGGAAAGCCAGGCGATTCTCTTTGGTCTTAATCTTGACTCCAACCAATAAAAGCAGCAGCGTTTCTAGCAAGATCTTCTTACCTAACAGCCTCTACTTGTTAACCCTAAATAAGGGTTCGTTTAAATCTGATCTTGGGAGAAATACAGGAATGTGGATGGGGGCACATAGCCCGGCAAAACAATGAAGAATGATCCAGCCTTCGTCCCTTCATGCGCGTCAGAGCTGTGGGTCTATGGCCTGAGCTTGTTCTCACCAGATTCTACTCCAGATTAAGCAAGGACCCAGTCACTGACATGTAAGCCTGTTTCTCTCCTGATTTTGACATAGTGTTACGTGAGACAGATGCTTGGTGCACATGAGGGCCAGGCTTCTTAAATTAGTTCTGCACAGGTGAGGCAGGGATGAGATATACAGGAAACGCTAGGGTAAATTAAACCACGTGTTGACCCAGGAAAATGCGGGGCACTAGGTCACGGAAGAGCAAGAAGGGGTTCTACCCTGAGCAAAGCAAATCAGCAAGAGGCTCCTGTGTACTCCGGGGACCGTAACTTTTTGCTTTCGTTTATTCTCAGGCATCTACGGGACCTTTTCCTCATTGGCGGGAAGACAGGCAAAACTACCCAAGCAGTCAGGGGGAGCGGAAACCCTGGGGCGACTTTGCAAGACGGTTACGCCCCCGTGACGTAGAGGATCAAAGACTCCTTTCTCTCACAGTGGAAAGTGGCTTCCCGTTAGTACCATCCAAGGAAAGAGATTTGTCACACTATTCTTACACAGGCTTTACAAGTACACACGTCCCTCCTAGTAGAAAAACAATTTTCCACTAGTTAGTTCCGGGACAGCGACAAGAAGACCACTTGCCTACGAAGACGAAGGGCGGGCTTGAGCCCGCGCAGTGTCACAGCTCCTCCG